TGGTCATTTTTGCTTTTGGCCGAGAAAAAAATAGACATGGGTAGGGTATAAAAGTTAATGTGTCCTTGCCAAAACTGTTAAGATAATGATGTCATATGCTTTTTCTTCTCTGCATTTCTCTGTACTGTTTCTTGTACCCTCTCAGAAGCACTGACTTGAAGCTTTCTGTAGAGCTGATTGAAATTCCAAGAATTTCACCTTTCAAATACATTTTTTTTCATTGCCTTCCTTTTTTGGTTCATTTCTTGAGGAATAATGGTTCTCTCAAATCTTCAGGACTGTTATTTTCAACCAATTCTAAGAATAGTTAGAAGGATGCCGATTTCTCAACCCCAGGGGCATTTCCAGGAGAAGAAGGGAAATTTTAAGGCAGAAATCATCTCCTCTCACCAACTCCAGGTTTCTTTTTAGTCACGCTGTTGTTTATACACAAATATTAACGTAAGTATAAACATGGTTGTGAGCATAGCTTCCTCAGTTAATACCAGAGAAGACTTTCCTTACACTCAGCAGAAGGACTAAGGAATGTTTTTGTCAGTTTTTAAAAAACAAGCCATGGAGATGACTTTACATTTTACAGTGACCTGCAATCATATCCCTGGTGCCAATAAGATCTCAAAGGCCTGATCAGAGCATGGTGAAGCCAATGGAAAAATTCCCCTTGTTTTCAGTAGCCTGTGGATCAACCCCTAAGCTTTGATTCAGCAGAGACATAAACCCATTTTTAATTTATCACTCAACCTAATGGAGCTAAGAAGTGCTTCAGGGCAAGCGACTGTTCAGTGCTTTGTTAAGTGTGAGCCCGAGAGGTGAACAGCACCTGCAAGAATGCATTCTTACCCTCCTGAAAATGCCGCTACATTATCCTTTGGCTTCCAGATTTGTTTGCCTCCTGCTGCGGAACTGTTAGGAATAATGGGACTTATCCATAGCGTATTAAATCAGTAGAAAAAAGAAGCAGAAGTGTAATCCATTTCATCTTTCTTAAAGCCAGAAGCATCGAAAACCTTCTACTAAGCTGTCCAAGAGAGCGTAATGACATCTTTATATTCAACTAAAACTTATGGCTCCTTAAAAATAGATTGAGATCAGGTGTAGTAATTGAATCTATAGTTTTAGTGATAAGCTACAATGTCTGAAGTCAGTTTTGCAAATTTATAATTTATAGATTTTTATCAAAAGAGTAAACTAGCAATCTAGATCTCTTCAAATCGCAAGCACAGAATCTGATTAGTTTTAAGCGTTAGTTCATTCTCCCCACGGAGATATCACTAGAGGACTTCATATCACAAACACCACACAAAGAATAACATCAAGCAAATAACGGCATGTGCTCAGTACGAGAAAAGACAACTATTTATTTAGCACAGCGAGTTCAGTCATTTAAGCCTTCTGCTTCGACAAATTTGGTTTCAATCTCGCTTCGATTCTGAGAGAGATGAATTTGCTCTTCTCAGCCTAGTTCTCGCTGGACATTTTTTTTTTCTTTTTTCTCAAAACGAAACCACTGCACAGCCTGGCACATTAAGGCAGAACAGGAGGTGTTTGCTAAAAGGATGTCATTTGCAAGTCAGGACTGAAGTGCATTGCCCCAGCTGCGTGCTTAGGAGCTTATATGGCATCTACGCTTGATCTACCTGACTCAAATCAACACTAGACCCACACTTCGAAAAGCGCTACAACACAGTCCAGTATAGTTCAGTATAGTCTAAAAGTGCCTTATTTTAAAGCGAGTAGCCCACACGACTATCCAGGGAGGGGAACAGTAATTTTGAGCTTCTAGCACAACGGGCACATCGTACATTCAGCAGTTCACTAGCCATACATTCTTTTCACTGAGAAGAAACCAGGACCGAAAAGGAATTCAGGTGCTGCATGGCATGATGCGAATGGCACAAAAAAGACATCACGGACACTTTGTGTGAATGCAGGGGAACAAATGAAGGGTCATCTCCAGGTTGATTTGGTTTTTTCCCCCCAGACTGCAGTAATATAAACATATATGTATGTACACAATACATATGCAGAATATTCTTCAAGGCAGGGTGGTGTATATGCACATACACACACACAAACACAGGTGTTTTCCAAACCAAACTGCCAAAGAGGTGGGTTCCAGGTAGTGAATCTGGACGGCAGACAGCAGTGCTAAGTGATCACAGTAAGCGGAAAATCCCTCATGAACAGGACATACCGTGTTCACCGCCTAGGGAGGGTTCGCATGTGGTTACATACCCAGATGAGCTGCAGTCCCATCACCATCTCTGTGGTGTGTTTCTGGATGAAACTACCGGCCTTGCATCCGAGTGCTCTAAGGGCAGGGGGGTTCGGAGGCAGACGGAAACGGTTAAGGCCCATGTTGGCTGAGAACTGTTTTTCCCCTCTTCCAAAGGTTAGGTCAAGGAAATAAAAACACTTTAGAAAGTAAAATAGGAGACTCAAATGAAGCAGGTGTTTCTTTTTCCTCCCCCTGTATCTATCTATGCTGGTCAGGGCAGAATAGATAGATGCTGCATCTGTAGTGTTGTCACACACTGCTAAAAAAAAAAATCATATGCCAGGGCTGAGAGAGAGGGAATGGACAGGACAGGTAGAAGCACCTCTTGAAGACAGGCCTCCCACTTGCAAACAGAAGTCACTGTCTGAAAATCGGCACCCTACTTTGGCAAAACATGAATCAGAGCAGGGGTGGCCGATTTCCCTTCCTCATGAGCAACGTAAGCAAAAATTCCCTTCAGCCAAGAGCTTTGTGCTTCAGAGATCTGAGGGAAGGGGACCCCAGGAATAGCCCTCCCTGCATCCAAACCCATGGTAGTTTGGATACGTTACTCTGTACACCCAGTGGGCACAGGCCCCCCAGTCATGGAGATCAGGTTCCTGGCAGGACTGCACTGCAGTTTGCTTCAGGCTTATGCACCCAAATTTCCCTTGTGGGCAACCAGAATGCACAGTTCAGGGTGCAAGCAGGAGTAGGGGGAGCTGGTATGCAATGGGGTCTCTCCCCAGTATGGCAAGAGGATGTGCCCAGGGCACTGTCAGGGTCTGGGGGCTCCGCAGCACTCCCAGACTCTTAGTGTAGATACAGCAGCCTCACCGTGTCCTCTTGCAAAGCCCTGCTGCAGTCACTGCAAGGGAGCCGCGCTGGGACTGCTGCTGAGATATATTCTCTCTCACATCTCTGCTTTCCAAATACTTTTCCTATTCCTTTGCTATTGTTTACCCTCCCCTCTCCCCCCCCCCCCGCCAAAAAAAACCCCCCACACAAAACAGGATGAGGGGAAATCATATGCATTCACCAGACCAAATTTGGAGGTAAGTAAGACAGACATGAGCCAAGAGAAGAATTGCCAGCTCAGGTTATACACACCCACCATCCTATCCAGTAATCTTGCCAGAAGTGGATACTGCAAAGGCAGTACCCGAGGAACGTACGCCTTTCTCTGGCCCTATACCCACAGAATTTATACATCCAGGCTCAGTTAAAGATGTATGACTTTTAGGCTCTTTAACTGAACTCTCTCCACTTTGTCACAACCTCTTGCTAATCATCACTCCAAAACCCTGCCCATTGGCTGCAACTGCTGCTGAGCTCCGGAGACTCTGCGGTTCTGACATCATCTAATCTCTGACCTAATTTAAAAACAAAATGTAAGGACTTTTTTGCAGTAGCACAGCAGCCAAGAGTAGTCTAATGGAAACTTTCAGAATAAGGAGATCTGCCCACTTCTTGGTGTTAGGGAAAGGGCATCAGCCAATGCGCTAAATGCCCTCTCTCATCACCTGCCTTCCTTCTCCCCTTCACAAGGTCTGGCTTTAGAGCCGAGATTCTCACCGATGAAACCAGGCTGTTCCCGAGGGTTGGGAATTTGTTTCCATTTCCAAAGCTTGGAGGAGTCACAAATCCCTGCTACTGTCATAGGAGGGAGGTAAGAAATCCTCCCAGGACAGATAGATTTCCAGTGCCCTTGAACAGGGTTTCCCTGGTATAAAGCAGGTCAGTCATATTCTCATGGGATCCCAGGTCCTCTCTGCACCTAAAAACCAGCTCATGTCTCTACTTTTTCTATTTTCTCATGTACTGAGAGATCATAGCCCTCAGTGGGAAAAAAAGCAGGTGAAAGGCCTGATCCAAAGCCCAAAGAAATGAACAGAAAGAATCCAGCTGACCTTGAGGGAGTTTGGGCTGAGGGAGGCTACAGCATCCTGCAAAGCCCAGCCTAACTTTAGGAAATACTAGATCCAAAACAAAGTCTCTCTATCCCCAGACGCTGCCCATATGACCTTGGCAAGCCATGGGATCCTGAAGGCTGCCTGCCAACGTGCAAGAAACCAAGCAGATGGCAGCTGGTGTCTGCCTGAAGTCGGCGTGGGACTTCGCCAGGTATCTCCATATGCTGCTAGCTGCGCTGTCGGTCACAGTACAGCCCCTCTGCTCACTCCCCTGCTGGCAGCTCAGCCAGAGAAATGACTTGGTGTGATGTCCCAAGTTGCATACTCAGCTCTACCATGCTGCAGTCTCGGCCTCCAGCTACAGCCAGCCTGTTTTCTCTGGGGCGCTTGTGAGTTGGGTTTTTAAAAGTAGGTTGATGAGCGGCAGGTACACAAGACACCTATTAGAGATCACACTTTGCTGTTTGGGTCAAGGAGCTGCCTTTTGCCTGCGTTTGCCCAGGGGTTCCCCTGCCCCAGAGGTGCTGGATAAACACCAGCCCAGCACACAGTGACAGGCAAACTGGGCCTTAGCACTAGGCTCTGTCTCCCCTTACATCTTCTTTACCACAACCCAACTTAAAAACAAACCAAACAGAAACCAAAACACAAAGCGGGGACTCTGGATGGGACGTAGAACACTTTGGACTTGAAAACAGGGGACTGCAAGAGAGGTGGGGGTGTCTCCCGGGGAGGACAGCAGGGGAGGGGAGGGGACACCGTCATTTACACCGATCAGGAGAAGCTGTAATCTATACACAGTGGTATAAGCCAAGATATATTACATGAAAGAACACACTGAGTGCATGGAGTTACCCACACTGGGTCAAACTGGCACAGTTGTCTTGAACAAGACTCTTGGAGTTGCAGTTGGTGTTTGTTGTTGACCTATCTAGCTCGCTCTCTCTATATATAGATATGTATAGAATTTTTCTGCATGCATTTGTCTCAAAAGGAGCTGTACAGCTGGGTTGGGTTTCTCATCCCCACCCCGTCTCGGTCTTCATTTTTTCCGGGCTAGGAACGCCACTCCCACAATCACAGCGAGCGCAGCCACCGCCACTCCTCCGATGATGATCAAGGGCTTCATGTTGTCGAAGATGCTGCCTGGTGACTCCTCGGAGCTGTTTCCCTTGTGGTCAGAGTCAGGGGACTGGCCGGTGGCCTCTTGTGTCTCCGTGGCAGCGGGGCTGGGCTTCAGGTTGCTGTGGTTGTTCACGACGGCAGCATCGCCACCTGCCTTCTTGGTGGCAGAGGTGGCAGTGGCAGGAGCAGGCTGCTCTTTGGGGATCTCCTTCTTGTCTGCATTCGTGGCAGGCCCAGGGTTGGGCTTTTCTGGCTTTCCGGAGCTGGGGGCCTTGGCGTCGGGTTTGTTTCCGCTTCGGACATTGCCTTTGGAATCCATCCCTACGAGTGCTGGGGGTAGCGACTGGATGCCACGCGCACGGGGCAATCCCAGCTCTCCTTTGCCTGGCTGCTGGAGAAAGCAGAGGAGCCACCTGAGCTCAACCCCTTGGAGTGGTTGTCTTGGGATGATTCTCACACTGGCGGTGTCCTATCTGGACATGATACAGCACCTGGAAGAGGAAGCAGAGCAATGAGAGGTGAGTGAAAGGCCAGAGCAAGCCAGTGCCATTCTACCTGGAGGCAACGAAGGAGGACGGAAGACAAACCTGGAAAACTGTTGCCTCTTTCTTTAGTAACTGTGATCTGTATTCAAAGCATCTACTACAGTGCCTGTACCTGCAAGAACATCAAACAAGTTGGACCGACTGTCATCTATGGCTGCCACAACTAGGCTCCGTGTGTAATCAAGACAAGTCCACCCTGGCCATGTATCTGACGCCATTTGTCAGTGACGAGATATACTCATGTCCAACCAAATAAATATTACTTTTCATTTGCTCACCACAGCTCCCTTCCTCCTGGGTAAGGAGAGAACATTTTGTTCGATGGGAAAGCAGATCAATAGTTCCTCCCTGCTTGTATCTCACCCTCTACCCTTCTTTTTGCAGCATTATCCCATGTGAAGTTTAGGAAGTGGCTAATATGTGATCTTGTGTGATATTCTCCATCCAGATGGGTACTGCACAAAAAAAACGGGATTAGTTCCTCAGCTATAGGTATCGGAGCTACAAGGATTATTGCTGTCAGCATTTCTGGTGGAGCTACAGCAAAATAAGGCAAGCGCCAGATCCTCAGCTGGTGCAAATCAGTGTATTGACTCCGGTGCAACTGCATGAATTTACTGTAAAGCTGGATCTCGCAGTGATTGAGAGATCTCACTCCTGTCTCCTCCTTGCAGTGGTTAGCTGGGCTTGCCTACAGAGCTGGGCAGGATGTCAGATGTACTGCAGGTGATTAGCTGGAGCCATTTTCCCCAGGGAACTGATGAAAGCAGTGAAGAGCATGGCTGCATCCAGAGAATTCAGCAAACGGACAAAGTGGGCTTCAAAGTGTTATAAAAACACAACAAAAACATCACCCCAAGCCTCACTAGGCAGCAATCTAGGCAGGGTGAGCCGGGAGATGGAGCTCCCATGGCTACACCTCTGCACAATGGGAGGAGGGGAAACAGCTGCTGGGCAGCTTGCCATCAGGCCTCTAACGGTGCAGCACCATGCCAACTTTGAGCTTGGGAAATAATGAGTAAATAGGAGGCAGCAGTCAGATCTGAGTCGCCTGCTTCATTACCTCTCTGCTGACCTTCAGCGCTGCCAGGAGCCTGCCGAGAGCTTTCTGCCTGCTAAGTGAAATATGAGCTTATTAGCTGTCTGGATTTAGATATAAAGAGGCTCCTCAAAAACCTCTACAGATAGATGTTTCTTCCAAAGTGGCTCAGAGTGCAGATCACTCCTTTAATGACAGACAGGAAGAAGGTCCCAGGGTTGCTGCAATGGTCTGTGCTGCTGCCTCTTCTGTGAAACAGGCTAACAAATGTGGTGTTTTAATCTCCATCTAGGCAGAAACACTGGCCTGGAGGAAACCTACTCACAGAAATACTGGGTTTGGGTCCAGAGCAAAGCTGGGCAACAGCTTGCAGCTCGGTGTGAAGTAGAAGCTACGCCCTCTCCTGCTCTCCCTTGTAAGCTGTTGTTTGATGGCCACCATCTTCTCCAATGCCAGTCAACTGGAGTTGACTGAGGGAACTGCAGCACCGAAATCATGGAAGTCCATAGCTCGCGTGCTGCACCAGGCACGATGACAATGATACTGGTACACCATATACTGAAAAGGCTGCCTGAAAGGTTGGCATTTAGCCTAGGAGAGTAGTCTGAGCTCTTCTTGTAGCATGGAGATGGGACAGGCACTTCCAGAAGGCTTTTCACGGACCTACCTTACACGCCTCCCTTAGAGAGGATGAATTTTAGCTGGGTAGTGTTTGGTGAGATGGAGCCTGAAGTCTCCAAAAGGCATTAGATGATCCAAGCTGGCCAGTTTTGAAATAAACCACTGAAAAGTGAGAGGCAGATAATCTGCCCCCAGGGTTTCATAGCCAGCGTTAAGCAGGATAGTTGCTACTCTTCCCTTGGGTTTTCAATTCGGTCTAGCTCCAAGCTCCTTCGAGAGAATAAATATCAAGCCAGCCCTTCACTTGTTTAAAAACCAGCAATCAAATTTCCCTAGCAGCTCTATGTGGGTCGGATCTACTTTGGGTGTAAAAGAGCATAGTCTCTTTGATTGCAGCTCAGCAATACTTACATTTCTGAGTTTGTGATTTTAAACCATTTTGGAAACCCAAAACACCACCACTCTCCCCTCATGTCACTGAAGATGCATCATACGCTTGGGCATCTTGTACCACAAAAACACAATCCCAGATGCTCACCAAGCTTAAGACCTTCTCTGTGGCTTGAGACTTGGTAGATAAACATATGGTCCTGGCCAAGTGCAAGAATATTTTCCCCTCCTTGCTAATTTTCTAATATTTCTGTAGATGCCACCTGCCTCACCTTTTCCTTCCTACTGCCTCCAAAGAGCATTCATACTGCTCTGCTCAGTAGAAATCCTATGTACATCCAGGTCTATATTCCTACGTGCTGAGGCTGCACACGGTCACTCACAGGACTCTGCTCTTCTGGTTTAGGAGCAATTTATCCCCATTTTACATCTGGTACAACCAAGACACAAAGAAATAGTAAGTGGGGCCCAAGACTGAAGCAGGCTTAGAGGTTATAGCAGGGAGACTCAGATTCATCATGTCACAAATATTAAATTACCTGCTTAGTCGCTTTGATATCAATTAGCTGGGCTGCTCACACACTCTCTAGTATTTGTGCTATTATACTACATGAACCAAGCATTAAACTTCTGCTTTCCCTAGGAAAGCTATGTGCAGCCTACAGAGATGGTAGGGGTAATTCATGGAGAGGGCAAACTGGCTTCTTTGCTGAGAAATGGGGACTCTGCACAGCCCAAGTACCTCAGTTTATCCATATCCTCTCTCATTCACACCCCTGATTGATCAGGTCTGGATTCCAGATTCCTGGAAGCAGAAAAGCTGGTTTTGCTCAGAGCCTACGCTGTGCCATGGAGCCTTGTCCCGCAGCCATGCCCTGCACTGCTACAAACGGCTCATTAAAGAATTTCTTGATTTCTAAGTGAGTTTCCACTAAAAGCAATGCAAGCCCCTCATGCAGATTAGAAAAGGTTTTAAAAGATGTAGAAACCAAACTAAGCTAAAAATCAATATTGGCAGTTCTTAAGTGTCCACATGAAAGGGCTTTCTGTCAGTGGTTTTCCATCACTGGAACTAGCCACAGAATTGCCCAGCATCTCTCCAGACCCTTTGGCTTGGTTGAGCTGATGCTGTCAAACACTGCAGCTGAGAAGCTCAAGCATCCTTTCTGCCCCCATCGGCTGCAGCACAGCTACCAGAGCCACTGGCTGGGTTAGCATCGTGCTGGCTTGCAGCCGTCCATGCTGTCCTCCTCCTCCAGACCCAGGGTGCTCACTCAGCAGCACATCCTCTCCCATCATAGTACTTAATCCTCATCTGCATGTTATTAACTACCTTCCAAGCAGACTCCCTACCTTGGGTATCATTCCCTTTTTCCTTTCACTCTCCTCCCCCTTTCCAGTCCTGTGCTTTTGAGGGCATGAGCACGTGCTCGTCTTTAAGCACCTCTGTATCCCACATCTGACTGAAAAGAAAGGTGCTTTCCTCATTTTCAAAAACGAAGTCTGCGCATACTGGTGCAAGGGTTTTTTCCCCTGGCTTTGTCTCCTCCTTTTCCCTCATTCCATCACAAACAGTTTTTCTCTAATGGCCTGTTTCTCCACCTTTGCTTTCTTCTTTATAGCTCTCACATCTATTTATTCCTCCCTTCCCTCTCCTCTTCAGTTGCTGTCTCTGCCTGTCTACCCATTCCCCCCTTCCAGCTCCCTCTCTGCCTCCCACACACACAGCAGCACTTGGGAATAAGGTTTTGTGAGAAAGAGGCTTCATTCCCTCCGTCCCCCTCCCCCCCCCATGCTATTTCTTTGTTTAAAAAAATCTGTGCCTTTTCAGGAAGGTTTTCACTTGCCAGCAGCTAACCAGCTCTTTCCCAGGCTAGGAAGACGGAGCAGAGATCATGAAACCAGTGATCAAGGAGAAAAAGGATGCCTTTTCAAAGGTTTTCACTTGCCAGCAGCTAACCAGCTCTTTCCCAGGCTAGGAAGACGGAGCAGAGATCATGAAACCAGTGATCAAGGAGAAAAAGGAAAAGAAAAGCTCTCCAAATTCCTGCTGCTGCAAGAAGCAGCACACAAACACCACAGGCCCCTCCTGGGACGGTTCTGGTTGTTGCAGCTCTCAAGGTCAGTGCAGTCGGACTCACCAGTGCAACAAGCTGGCCCCAGCCAAAGCAACAGGGCTGATGTAAGGAACAGCTTGCTTTGGCTCCCTGAAGGGCACCCTTTCTGCCTCACCCCCCCAGCAAATTAGAAAATACATCTATTTATCTGTCTCCCGTGTGCGCAGATGAAAGCTGCATCAATCCTGCACTGAATGGAGCAGATGAGTCATTGCCAGCTTTACCGTAACATACCATTAGAAGGTCCTCTTCCCTCTGCAGAGACCAGCCCCATCCCCAAGCCCTATAATCTTCCCCTCGCTGTTTCAAGTTGGAAGGAAAAGCCAGCAACTTTGCGAGACTGAGCAGCTGCTACAGGGTGTGGGGTCTGGGGTGCGGTGGGAAGCTGCACCCCACAGATGTGTGTAGGGTCACAGCAGTGCTGAGCAGGGGGCTCATACATGGGTTTTTTCCCCCCCTTCATGAAAAGCAGACCATTTCCATTGGGTCCTCAACTGCCACACTGACAGACCGTCAGCAGAAAGGAATTCAACCACCACAGTGGGGTTATGTATCTGAATTTATACTTGCAACAAAGGTCCACCCACACGCTCCAAGTGTCCTCCAGTTGAAAACATCAGTCTCAGAAATAGCTACTGACCATGTCTGACCTGTAGCAATGCTGTGAAAAAGAGCCAGAGGTGACAGAAAAGACCTTAAATATCCTCAAAACTTCTTCCTTAACCCCTACTTAATCTGCCCGTCACCTCTTTGTCATTCCCACCCGTCTGAAAAA